TTATCTTGCTTTTTACACAGCTATTTACTAAATGAATGAATAAATGGACATGAAATATTGATTTTAATTTAAAGTATTTTATAATGTGAGAATAAAGAGACTGCAGAGTGCTTTTAGAGCCATGGAACTAACCCAGTGTAGAAAGACACAGTTACACAGTTTAGTGTACTGCTCAGCCAAGAGCCTCAAGATAACTTGATAAAATAAAATCAAAACTTGCGTTAAAATAAGATAAAACAACAAAAAATCAAGATAGCACTTATTTTAATTTACCCCCTCAAGTATTTTTTTCATATGATGCTGCTAAAAAGAACATTATTTTGTGTATTTGGTGTAATGAAATGTGTTTATGCGGTTTAAAGTTCAAAAAACACATACTGTACATTATTGTTTCTCCTCTATGCCCCGCCTTTTTGAAACGCGTCAATTTTTACAAAGCTCATCGATCTGAAAATTGAGGTATGCTGTGATTGGCCAGCTATCCAATGCGTTGTGATTGGCTGAATACCTCAAGCGTGAGACGGAAATGTTACGCCCCTCACATACTGTTGATGCCGTGTCCGGCCGGAGCGACGAGACAACATTAAAACCCATTACAAACAAGGCATTTGTTGCATCCAGTGGGGACATAATTACTGATTATAATGGCTTATACTGTCTTTTTACGCGTTGCGTTGCATTGCATCGCTCCGCGCCACGTAAACATAAAACTCTGTCTGCATTTGTGATCGGAGAAATGACAAACAACAAGTGCTACTCTACACTGCCCAAAACTCGCGTTTGAATCATCAGTGGCAAATCCTTTAAATGAAAACGTTCTTATGTGAGTCAGAACAGCCGGCATTGTAGTTTAACGTTACTCTCCCAGGATCAGTAAACAGTCCTCCATAAAATGTGCTGCACACATCTGGATATTTGGGTTAAACTGTTCTGGAACAGTGTGGTAAATACAACTTAACCACTGATTTGTAGTCGTGTCCTCTTTTGGAAGATCAAACAAAGTAGTTTCGCTTTCACAACGAAAAACACAGCAGCCTAGCGTGAGGGGAAGCCCCGGCTTAGCATGCGTTGAGGCCGGGATAGAGTGAGCTAAGCGGCAACCACATGTGACGGACCCCGGGCTGGACTCCGCTTTATCCACGGTGAAAGTTGATGTATTCCCTCAGCGACCAGCACAGATAAGCTCTAGGCATGACGAAGTGGGTATCGTCCTCTTTTGGAAGACCAAACAAAGTAGTTTCACTTTCACAACGAAGCACACAGCGCCTTCACGACATGGCTGCAGCGTCAACAATACTGCAGTGAGAATAAAAGTTACGCCTTCTTTCTTTGCGTGAACATTTGGGCGGCGTTATGCAAATCTTCCCACATAGTGAGGTAGATATGTGGGGGCGTGTTAGAACGAGCCGTTTTAGGTAGGTGTGGCTGACTCTTAACTTTTATAAAGAATATCTCTTTGGATTTGAGACTTTAGTCTTTGCAACTTTACAGATCTTCTTTATGCACCAAGAGCTTGTAACACTTCAAAGAGAAAGGAAAAATTTTAATCGCATCATATGACCCCTTTAAAGTGTGATTTCTAGACCTGGAATAATCATATAAATTAATACAATCTTATAATTTTTATTCTTTTTATGAATATACATTTTTCAAATTATTTTATCTACAATAATTTATCAGGTAGAAATGTTCATATTCTACTGTAATAATCTACTTGTTGTGGGCAACAAAAATGTTGAGAACAACTGGTTTAGCGGCCCATTATACAAAAATATTTGACAGCACAGTGCCACGATTGACCAACCAGAATGAGGTTTGAAAGCTGACCAGATGTTTTTGCCAAAATCATAATGAAAATATGCCCTCTAATATAAGTTATTTTATTGTGCCTTATTTCTAAATTATAATACCTTGCATGTTTGCCTTTCATCTGTGCTGTTAGCCAGACTTTTGAATGAGTACACCCACAAGTATAACACCGGGTGTGTGTTATTTGCAAGGTCACAGAGGTTATGAGGTGTAGAACTAAAAGCATTTCCAAACTTTTAGGTCAACAGTCAGTCCCTCTGCTGAGCCTCCATGTTTTGGTATGACATGTAGCAGCTCTAGACTGCCTGTAGCTCCACTCCAGTGGGTTCAAAGTCATAGCCCTGCTCCCTCTTCATTGCTTTTGACAAAACGAACGGTGTGTGCGTGTGTGTGTGTGTGTGTGTGTGTGTTTTCAGTCACAAAGAATGTCACCCTGTCACTGGCCCACCTACCTGATGTGAGGATTGTGAAACAGTGTCTATAGCATGTCTCTCTTGGACACTGTTTGTATGTTTTTTTTTCTACTCCCAGTCTGAGAGGCAATGTCCTTGATTTGTTGGTCTGATTTTGTTTTGAAAGCGCTGGTAAAAATGTCGTGATAGAAGTGAAACGTTTCAGTCGTGTGTGATAATTTATTGTATTGTGAAGAGCTCCCTCTACTGAAATCCTGGCGAGATACTTCTTTGAGCAATACAGGGATGCATTGAGATCTAGATTAAAAGCGTACAAAGGTTTTACTTTGTATTCTGCTTTCGATGTGTTCTGAAAAATAATGTGTAAGTATGAAGAAATTTTTTCACAAAAAATGTAAGTAATATATAAATTACCCAAACATATTTATCATCGTCCACTCATACATACTTTTGCCCATACATGTTGAACCTGTAGTTGCTAAAGGTTGAGTCAGGGTGTGATCACATAGTGTCGCAGAAGCCTTGGGGGTTTGACACTGTAAGCATCTTGTGTTATCTGACACTACGAAGAATCATTGAGACGCTTCATAATGATCACACACATGTGCTCAGCTACTGAGCTTACGGAGTAAATCAGTAAGACCAGACAGGCTTACAAGTGACATAGATATGTGACTTCTGTGCATGTAATGAGGTTTAAATTAATAAACAGTCAGTTTTACATTTATTATTATTAATAGTAGTTAAGTAAAACAGCTTAAATTGAATTACTAATTAGTTATTTTATACAGTGCAGTTTAAAAGTCTGAGACCAGTGAAATTGTCCCCTTGGAATTATACGGTTCTATCTGCATTCTGAGTAGTTTTGAGATATTGAGCTTCAAAGTTTTTGCATTCCATTAGACTGTGTAGATAGAACCTTTTTGTTTTTTAAATAAAAAGTCCCAAAATGAACACAACATTAAAAAATCTATCACATAATGTAAATAAGATGTCACAGAATAAGAATATGTGAATAACTCAATTTTGACAAAAATGTCAGATAGACACCTATAATTCCAAGGGGACGAAATGCGTATATTTAGCACTTTTCTAATTTAATACACAATTTGTATTGCACATTATATCATTAACACAATAAATGTCATTATGTAAAATTAATTATTTGGATTGTCTCCCTTTGTCCTAGCACTCAAGCAGGGTTTAAATGCTGGGTTAAAAACAGCCCAGTGCTTTACAAAAACCCACACAGATATGAGGCTTTAGGCTTCCAGTTTTTTTAATTGTACTATTGGGCAGCGAATGCTAGAGCTCTATCCTACTGGCAGAAGTGTTATTCATAACATTTTAAAAATGTCTTTACATTTTTTCAAATTTTTTTATCTTTCTGTTGTTGTTGTTTCCGGATATTAATTAGATTTTGAATCGCAGCTTATCAGTGTAGTCACAGACTTTTGGACATGACTGTATGTAATTTAACAAAATAGATTATGCAATATAATCAGTGATTTTTAAATTCTGAATTATTCCAGTCACACTAAGATTTAGATTCATGGGAGTCTTGTGAGACTACATGCATCAGTGCTCTGCATTCCTGCAGTAATAATGCTGGGAATAGAACTAATATGAGCATAATGGACCACTCAGAGGTGAAGCAGAGCTCTAATGTATTTTCCATCTGTTAATATTTAATGCAATGTTGTAGACGTCATTACACTTTTGACTTAATTACCCCTTTACTGGTCACCCTAGCTTAGTGATGACCTCTGCAACTGACAGTGTCACAATTACATCACCTCTTAATGAATCTTAATGAATCGCTAATTTACTGTTATGGCTGCTGGCACTTCAACTGAAGTGGGCAGAGTGTTGCACAGATAATATAGTGATCAGTGTATTTAAGATGAGAAAAAACGAGAGATGCTGTTTTTAATCCGAATAAAAATCGAATCCATTTTTATTATTTTCAAGTATTTAATCCAATTTAATTTGATATAACAGAAGTCCCGATTTATCACTCCCGAATGTTTTGTTGTCTGACTTATGCAATGTCTGTATTTAAATCTGCATACATTAAGAGAAGTGTTACACATTCTGTGCCTTGTTCTTTAGGGTTTACATTCTTTCTCTCAACAACTTGCCAGGCAGTTGATCATATGTCATAGCTTGTGCATCAATATCCACACAATCACATTAAACCCACACATATGGACAACCACTTAGCAAGGGCAGATTAATTTAAATAACTTTGATTCAAATGTCAGCTTTGTTGCCATGTGTCATGAAAGTATGAAGCATACAGACTTTGTCAGATATCATCTATGCAGGTGGCTTGACAGGCTTTACTGCATTTCAGAGCTTCATTCCCGATTAGAGATTTTCTCCACTCGTCGTATTTCGAACAGAACGTATTTTATTTGCGCCGTACGCCTTGGAAATGTCACATATGGGTAAAAGCCTGTTGTGTCTTATTCACACTTTAAACCCACTGTACCTTTTTCTGAGACATTGATTGCATTGGTCCTTTAATATTGGTGACAGCTAATACACTCCTAAATGATCGGTTATTATCTCCTGGGCCTTGTTCCATGTGCCCCGCTGCTTCCAAAGGTCATCCCTCTGTCTTCCTGTATCGACCTGCTCGCCTGTTAACGTAGACTAAGACTTATTGAAAGTGAAGGTTGAGGAGCATATTTCCATCAGGTTGCAGTCTTCTCCTTCACGAGACGGCTTTTAAAAGGTTCTTTTGAGCATGTCCATTCAGAGAGAAGGGCCAGGATGAGAAAACATAATGGATATGCCAATAAAGGGAAAAGCGCCCTTAAAATGCATGTGGTTTTTCCACTGGTGTGAATGTATCAGCATCCAGCCTTAATATGATATATTTAAGGATAGAAGGGGAGCGCTGTATATGCTTCACACTTAAAGCAAAATCCTCAAAATACTAACAAAGCTCCCTCTGTTCGTTTCACAGCTGTACGAACTGGATGATGATGAGAAAAGAAAGGAGTTTCTCGATGATCTCTTCAGTTTCATGCAAAAAAGAGGTGAGTCTTGTTATGTGCAGCTATTCAGATCGCAAATGTCAGAAGAAACACACACCCAATCACACCCACATTGCAAAACCATATGTTGATTTTAGATGATAATGTTCAGATATGGGTAATTATAGGGCTTGCTGGCGATATTTTGGACATATTCCAGGTGAAATTGAATTTACTCTTCTTGATAGAAAACTAAATAAGAAATTTTTTAACAAGTAAATACAAGGGTTTCTGTATTTTTAAAGAATATAACGAGGGACTTCTTTTATAGGAACAATTAAAATAAGTAGGTTTGATTGCCACCTGTGTATGAAAACAAAGCATCATAAATGTCTAACCACCCATCTGCAGTCATGCCAACAATAGAAATGCAGGGTTTATTGTTTTGGTAAAGGCTGAGAATGTGTAGATACTATTGTGATAGGCTTTTTCAGGTTTCCTGCTTGAACTGTCAGGTTTCTCTGAAGTGTTGCTGCCACTGTGGCGTGTTTCTGCCCCTGATACTATCTGAAACAACGGCTTCTGCTGTTTGTTTTATAATTACTCTCAGATTATGTGAAAACATCCTCGAGGGGATGACCTTGCCACGGTAGGGAAGCCAGCATCCTGGTATTATGTTAGCCGGCCGTGGCATAATGAATTTTAATGCTTTATTGAGGAGGGAGGTACATCATCTGAGAATTTTTTCCCACCGAGGTGTTTCAGCAGACATCAGCCTCCGATATTTTATAGAGGAAATAGAGGAACTTTAATGGCCTTGCGCATTATGAGGAAGTTTACAGCCTTTGATGACTTTCCAAGACAGGACAGAGCTATTTTAAGTGCACAGGACTGTTTTTGTTGTTTTGTGTGGCTCTGTTTTGGTAATATGGTTTATTTTCACTATAAGTTTGGATTATATCCAAGTTGATATTTTTTCCTAAACAATTAAAAACGTACACATTTGTGTGGCTCTGTTTTGGTAATATGGTTTGTTTTCACTATAATTTTGGTTTACATCCAAGTTGATATTTTTCCTACACAATTAAAAGACTTACACATTTGTAGGATCTGTGAGCAAAAAGTTTTCTTTATTTTCATAGCTACAGATAATTTTTTTTTATCTAAAATCAAATAAACCAAAATATAAAAGTTATTTTAGATTGTAATAATATTTCACAATAAAACCATTTGTTTTGAGTCATTTGTTTATGTTCATCAGAAAGAGTTTTTTTCCATTGTTTTATTTACATTTATTTTGGGGTTTATTGTACATAAAAACCACAGCTGTAGTAACCTATTTCATTTGAAATATACTTTGCGCATGACTGAAAAGTTTTATTATGAACTTATGTGCATTTTGTCTGCAGGACAAACAGAAAGCGCATCAGATATTTTCTGAGAAAGAAGAATTGGGAAAGAAACACTCTCTTAGTCCATGAATGATGACAGATATGCCTTTCTAACAGTTGAGGCTGTGGCTTCCTTACACATTACACTAAAAGTACTTGGCAGTATCTCGACAAAATCTATGTAAATGTATTGTGTGTTGCTGACCTTGCAGCCTGTCAGCAGTATAATATATATCATTACTAAATAGCTCACAACATTTTGACTGCTGACTATTCAGAGCTCATTTCGTGCTTTTGTCAGTACATACTATATATCAGTGCTATGATGTAGTTAGATCCAGGTTTTGAAGGAGAGATTCAGCTGTGTTTAAAAATGTACAGTATTAGATTACTTTAATTTCATAAAATAAATATGTATATTATTATATTGGGAAGTCGTGGCCTAATGGTTAGAGAGTCGGCCTCGTAACCCAAAGGTCGTGGGTTCGAGTCTCGTACCGGCAGGGATTGTAGGTGGGGGGAGTGAATGTACAGCGCTCTCTCCCACCTTCGATACCATGACTGAGGTGCCCTTGAGCAAGGCACTGAACCCCCAACTGCTCCCTGGGCGCTGCAGCAAAAAAAATGGCTGCCCACTGCTCCGGGTGTGTGTTCACGGTGTGTGTTCACTGCTGTGTGTGTGCACTTTGGATGGGTTAAATGCAGAGCACTAATTCCAAGTATGGGCCACCATACTTGGCCACATGTCACTTCACTTCCATTAATGTTATTATTAGAACGAATTATATAATTTTATAAATGTTATAATTCATTCTAATAATAACATTTACTGATGTTTCAGTTACAAAAAAGTGCCACATAAAAATGAATATCGTAAAAATTACAATAAATTAAATAAATAAACAAAAATGCCTAAATTAAGCATAAAATAATGAGCCAAGCATATTATTATTATTACAAGATAAAAGTTGTAGTATTTTGAGTTAAAAACTTTCGAGTAATATTAAGAAAATAAAGTTGTAGCATTATTAATTATAATCTGCTCATAATGTATCTTAATTTAATTGAAACAATTGTGCTTCATTTTCACAGTATGTTAAGTATCTTTTCTGAAGCTTTCCATACCAGTGACACATTTTTTGTAATACAGTTGTTTATACATCATGTGTGGCCATTTTTGACTAGTCAAACCATCTTAGCAACAGATTTTGGTGTTTTTAACAGAACCCCTCTTGGTGCTTTGGTTTAGTGTTTGAGGCAGTTACAGGTCACAGGATATCTGATTTATTTTCCCTGAGAGACAACAGATGACAGAGAGGGCTGAGTTGTCATTTAGCTCTTTCTCATCTGTTTGAATTTGTGATGACAGGAATGCAGGGCAGGTTTTATCGCGGTTCATGCTGTTGTTATTGTGCTATGGGCCAATCCATTCGAGACAGCCAGCGAGGAGTCACCCAGTCTGGTGATGCCATGACATAAAAATGCCTGAATACAGCGAAGGGAAGCTCTTCCCGTCAGCTCAAGCATAAGATCAAATATAATCTAATCCCTGCTGCCTCTGTTCTTATGCTTGATGTCTAAATCTGTATTGACTGTAAACCAGAACACCCAGTGCACTTATCAAGAGTTCACTTGCATTTACACAGATTGGATAAAATATGCAAATGTTAGCTCTCAGTAGTAATCATTAAACGAAAACCCAGAGGTTTTAGGATGAAGTCTTTTTCATTACATCTGTTATGGATTTTCTTCTCATAAATGACATGATCCAGGTTACCTGCCATACTTGTTTTACTGTTGTGTTGTCAATCATGACTCCATGGTGTTAAATGACCAAGAGGCTTTTATAGTTGTTATCATACCATGTAACTGACAGCATGAATAGAATGGGAACTCCCATTTAACTTCCACCATCTTAAGTTTTGTCACTCAATATGGTGGTTCATCAGTGACAGTTGGAACTGTTCATCACCAGAGACGAGACTATTGTGACAGAGGATTCACAGTACTGTCTAGTGATACATGCTCAGTTAGGACACTTAAAGGGATATTTAACCCACAAATGAAAATTACCTAATTATTTACTCACCCTCAAGTAGGGCTGAACGATTTTGGAAAATAATCTAATTGTGATTTTTTTTTCCAATATTGCAATTGCGATTTAATATGCAATTTTTTTTTAAAGCTCTTTATGTTCTGTATTATTCAAAAAAGACAAGCTATAAATCATTGTATAGTATGACCAACACACTTAGATTAGATAGATTATTCATAAATGTTCTTTTCTGTAGGCCAGGCCTATATGTTACGATGAAATTAGGTGATGCATGAATTGATATGAATGACATTTTTTTTAACAACTACAATCACAGTAGTATATTGACTGATTTGTTGAACTTCCAACCTTGTGAGCATGTAATAATTATGACAACATAAAGCACTGACAAATAAGCCTGGTGTAAACATTAATATGAAAGTCAGTAACAAATCACACAAACTAAAGTAGATTGCAGAAATATAAAAACAAACCTGTTGCTTTACCACACTACTTTAGGTAATTCAAAGTCACTGTAATAAACATGTAAACATGTGCACTGCACTTTTTAAACACTGTCTGTTAACTTTAGACCATTGGTTCTCAAACTTTTTTGGTTGTGCCCCCCGCCAGACTACCAAATAATTTCACTAAACATTATGAAAAATTAATGTTTTTTTAATTTAAAAAACCTACAGGGAAAAAAAACACCTGCATCACTTGAAACATTGAAAAATAGCATAGAGAGAATAACTTATTATTATTCTCTCTCTGTAAAAAAATTTTTTGTGTGTGTTTCTTGCTGTCCGCTAAGGCATAGGACACACACACAGGCTTTCCTCACCAACGACATTAAACAACTTGTCTACACCGGACGTGAGTGGCACAATACAGTAGAAACCATTATAATCAGTGACGCTGTCTACACTGGATGCGGCGCGACATTAAACTGATGCCTTGTTCTATTTATGTCGTACTGACACAAAGTTAAAATGATTTGCAACGATTGCTTTGTCGCATCCAATATAGAGCTGTTGCGGCGCGACGCACAACTGTAGCGTCTGGTATAGACGCGGTGAGTGAAGCCCAGAGCAAGATATGCCTTGTCATATTTTCTGTATTTAGCTTTTAAATGACCAGCACCTGCCTGGGTCTGTGCGACTTCATCTATGGCTTTTCTCTTCGCTTTCACAAACCGATCCATCTCCCACTCTAAGTTACGTCCTTTGGCTGTTTACTGTTTTATTTCTTTTCTTTTTCTGCTGATGGCCCGCGCTCGACTTGAAGCAGCGCTGCTTAGACCGATGGGTGTGTCATCAAAGCACTGCGAGAGCTATAAGAGCAGGGACATCTCCTTATGCTTTCTCTCGCTCGCCGTACTTTGATGTCATACACCGATCTGATCTTCAAGTCGAACACACCTCTTTACTCTCGCCTGTCACGTGACCGTGTAATCGCAGCCTCTGCGATTGAAAAATCTAAATGTTTCATATCGCTATATCATCGCAAATGCAGTTAATCGTTCAGCCCTACCCTCAAGCCATCCTAGGTGTATATTACTTTCTTCTTTCAGACGAATCAATCAGAGTTATATTAAAAAATGCCCTGGCTCTTCCAAGCTTTATAACAGCGGTGAA